GAAGAAAAATTCAAGATGAATATGAAACAAATAAATACTTCGCTATCTTTTAAGGGACTTAATGAGTGAACAGCCTCCTCTTGAGGGCTGCCTTAGAAAGCTACTGTGACTAGGGATGACATCAACAGTAAGTAGTATAGCATCCAGTAAAAACTCTCTTTATAGCACACCTGTAATATTATGCCTGTTAAGTGTTCCACATTTTTTGTATGATGGAAAAATTGAAAGGGCCCAGAACAGGGGTGGCCAGGATAGTGAGGGAATTTGAAACCATGTTACATAAAGAACAGAGGAAGGAGCTGAAGTTATTGAGACCAGACTCAGAGGGAACATGATCACACTCGCCAAATCCCAGAAGAGCACTCATGGCACAGAGAGAATAGCCTTGTTCTCTACAGCCCCACAGGACAGAACCACAGCCAGTTAACTACAGAGAGAAATACCTCAGCTAAGCCTATGGAAAGGAGCTGTGGTCCATAGAGGGTTGCACTACTAATCCAAAAGCCATGCTTCTCTAGCAGTTCAAACCCACCAACTGTTCTGCAGAAAAAAGATGTGCAGTCTCTCTTCACCCAATTTAAAATCTTGGAAACCTAGTGGAGAGTCAGCTATGCAGAGAACCAACTTGATGGCAGTGAGAGAGAGAAGCCAAAGGAACTCTGTATGAAAACACAGAACATTAGGAGGTAATAGCTTCTAACGTCCTATTTAGCCCTGTTGTTACATTGTCATCAAGTTAATTCTGACATAAGGCTTTACTTAGACATCATAATAAGTTAACTGCATTAATCAATGATAATTAATGCCTGTGGGGGGAAAAAAATCAAGGTGATTGGTAAACTTTCACCTAAATAAAACAGATTTCTTTAAAAAAGTTTATTCTGACTCATGCTGTTGTGAGATGCCGTCCAGTCGATACAACTCATAGAAATCCTACAAACAAAAGATCTGAACTGTGCCTATCCTGTACCATCTTCACCATCTCTGTCATGCTCAAACACTGTGAATTCACCGTTTCTGCCCATCTTGTTTTAGTCTTCCTCTCTTTCACTGACCGTCTACCATTCCCAGAATGATGTCTCTCTCCAAGGACTAGTTGCTTCTAAAACTATTCCCAAAGTAAATGAGACAAAGTTTCACCATCCTTGCCTCTCAGGTACACTCTGATTACATTCTTTCAAAGCAGATTGGTTTATTCTTTTGGTAGTTCATGTTGTTGTTTTTATGTGTCATCAAATCAGAACGGACTCATAGCTGACCTTCTCGTGGGTTTTCAGAGGCAGTAAATCACAAGGGAGAAGACTGCCCATCCTTCTCTTGCAGAGCAGCTGGTGAATTAAAATCCTGGACTTCAGCACAGCTTTTTACCACTAGGCCATCAGAGCTCCCTGAATCATCATGACACTATGCACAGCACATCAAAACACTGCCTGATCTCCAGCAACGTTTTCCAGCAGTCCAGAGTATATCCAATATTCTTTGACCCTATAGGACAGAGTAGAATTGTTTCATAGGATTTCCCCAAAGTAATATTTTAGGGGTGTTAACAGGCATGCCAGACCAACAGATTCTCAACCAGATGAACTGACACAGTGAAAAGAACAAGGGTCTGAAGCACAACAGTGAGAGTGGGGACAGAATAGATCAGGCAGTGTTTGGATCTGCTGTGCATAGATCACAATGATTCAGAATTTGATCAATAGGATCTAACAATTGTTATGGACACAGATTGCCAAGTCTTTTTTCCGTTGGAAGTGCTTTTAGGTTTGAATCACCAACCTTTTAACAGTCAAGTGCTTAGACACTCAACTATTGTTACTGCTGTTGTATACCATCCATTCACAACCGACCCATAGTTGACCCTCTGGTTTTTCAGGGGCAATTAATCGCAGAGGAGTCGATTGCCCATCCTTCTTCTGTGGAGCTGCTGGTGGATTCGAACTACATGCCTTCAGGGTTACAATGCAGCTTCTTGCCATTAGGCCACCAGTGCTCCAGGACTTATTTGTCTACCCTAAAGGTCCATAATGTTACAGGGCAAACATTTGTCATCACATCAGTATTTTCCCGCTGATGATTATTATGACAAGCCTCTAATTTCACATAGTCTCCCATTAAACTTCTTAAATGCCCGATTCAGCCACCAACCAGTGAAATGCTTTGCCGGGTCTGTAGGAAGAAAGAGCATGCTTGCTAGGCAATTAGTTTCATTTTGCAGATCAGTGTCCCTGTAAACAAAAGAGTGCCCTCATTGAGGGTCAGGCAAGAGATCTCTGCTAAGTGTACATGAAAGGTATTTTTATTAAATATAAAAGCAGCTGTAAGGCCATCCACCAAATAATATATGTAAGAATATTATCAGTGACATTTGATCCTTACAAGAACATTGAAATAAAAACCACTGTACAGCCAGCCATCTTCCCAAATGCATGCAGTCTAACTTTGCAAGTCAAACCAGCTTTCTAAAATTCAATTGGAAGTTTCCTTTTTGTCAAAAAGATGTTTACTGTTTGAAGTAGACCCTGTTACCCATGCTCAGATAAAAAAAGTCTACATTTGATTACATCACTTTTAAGCTAAAGTTTCCTATATACCGGGCCACAGAGTTTGTCTAACTGCAAAGGAATAGATATGGGCAATCCAAAGTGAATTTATGAAAAATTAAAAACCAGAGAAAATTTAAAACACTAGAGAGTTATGGAACTTGCCATATTTCAAAATTTTTGTCATCCAAAGGCAATGTATGTTAATCCTTAGAAGTTACTAAAAGCCTTCAAACAATAGTTCGGAGGGCACATATTAATCAATCCAACTTTAATATAGATGAATTGGACTTGTAGTTTAAGAAATTCAGTTAAAATATTAGGAAAAAATGTCTCCATGAATAGATTTTCTATAGTCTGTTCTGTATTTGTTTTTTTAAATGGAAGCCTGGTAATAACCTAAATATTGATAAAAGGATTAAATTATGACAGTCTTAACAACAGAATATGCAGCCGCTGAAAAGAATAGGATAGATATTGGGTTGGGGCATGGAAAAGAAAAAGTTCATCATGCATTATTAAGCGAATATGGCAATATGCAAAACTGGATTTTAAGAAATAATTTTAAAACAACAAAACCGTGTGTGTGTGTGTGTGTGTGTGTGTGTGTGTGTGTGTGTATGTTTGCTAAGGTATATTCAGAAAAATTAAAGGATCAAACTTAACAATACTGAAAGGCAGGGAAGTAGTGACTTTTCCTTTTTCCTTTGTACATTTCTAATTACCTCTACTTTTTGTAAGAGTTCCTTTTGTGACTTAGGACTGTCAATACAAAAATAAGAGATTTTTAAAAACTAATAACACAGTCGTATCAGTTACTAAATATTCAAAATGGTCATATCACTCTTTTTTTAAAACTCTACCTACATGTGAAATTTCAGAAAGCAGAATTTATATTTTTTTAAAAACTGTATTATAATACAATGCACAAGTCCTTACTTTGTATTTCTCAAATACTTACTATTCAAACACAGAGGGAAGTCCTAGTTATAATAACTAACATATACATGGTGCTTAGTACTAAGAACTGTTCTGAGTGCTAAAAATACATTAGCTAATCTTCTTAATAACCCAGTGAGGCGAGTACTATTACTCTCACATTTCACAGTTGAAGAAACTGAGGCTAGACAGTTTAAGTGACCTGACCAAGAATACGAAACTAATAAGGGGCGGAACTAGGATTAAGCTGCAGTCCATATTCTTAACCACTACACTTTCTGTCTCTAGGTTAATAAGTCAATCTTTTTCTATTAGGTAAAAAAATAGTCACAAGTAAAACCCAGCTAGTAAATACATTCCTCAAACCTGGAAGAGATGTGTATGCTTTTTTATGGGTGAGTAACCTACATTCATAGTTAAATCATCTCTAAGCCAAGATTCAAGAGCGCATTAAAGCTCATAACCATGTGGGAAAACTCCACAAACTCATAGTCCAAAGTCCATATCTGACGCTACAGTAATCACCGAGCCTAAGAATTAGGTCAGACACCCATTAATATAAGTACAGCTAGACAAATGGTTTGGACAAATCTCCAGTCCAACTCAAAGCAAAAACATTCAAAAACTCTAATGTTCTTACTTAGTTTTCAGACCCACTTTAGTCATAAAGGGGCAAAGAATTAGAGTTGTCTTGCTTAAAGACAACCTTCAGAAAGAAACGTTTTATTTTGTACAGTGGATCCAGAGAGAAATTGTTACCTACCAGCTTCAGCAAAATTAAACATTCTAGACTGGGTGTTGGGGGAGGCATCTTGCCTAAATTGCTTATTTGCCCAAATAATATATTGACCTTATGATTGAGAAGGTGGGTGGAAATGGTGCAAGAAAGGAATTTAACCTAATTTAGAAAAGTGCTCAACCTAGATACACACCTGTCCCAAATGGCCTACAGAACGAATCCATATACTTGCAGGGAAAACAGGGATTACAAGGGAGGGAGGCTGTTTTGTTGTGGTGTGTGTGTGTGTGTGTGTGTGTGTGTTCATAAACAAAATTCTCTCAAAACCTCCTCCACCTGTCACACGCACAGCTGATATTTACATAAACAAGGAAAAATGGACAAGGATATTGGCACTTCGGGCAGAACCCCCCTATACTCAGGTGTGTATACCCACGGGTAGAAGGAGGTACTACTGGGCTGGCTTTCCAACTTCCTCAAAAGTTTGCGCTCATTCAGGGTCTCTGACAAAGGCCAGAGCCCAGTTTGGAAGATGGTCCCCCTTGTACACAGCAGCCGGCCTCTCCCCGTCTCCAGGGATGGGGTGGGGGGGGGACAAAAGGCTTCCCAGGTCCAAGGGGCTCGGACGGAAGCGAGCTGGCGCTTCGAACAACCCTTGGAAGGTGAAATCTGGGGTTGGAACAAGAAATGGCACATTCCAGCCAAGCGCCCAACCCTGGATGCCGTGGGCACGCGGGCCGTGGGGCGGGTGGTGCCGGCGAGGAGGCTCCAGGACTTACCTGGGGACGGAGAGGGGGCCTCGGTGGCAGGTGGGGTGGGCGGGACGTTGCTGCCACCCTGCAGAACGGGGCTCGGGGTCTGGAGCGTGGTGGGCGCCGGCACAGTGGTGGCTGCAGGGGTGGTGGGCGCCGGGCCAGTGGGCGCCGAGAGGGTAGTCGGTGCAGGTCTGGGGGTCGCCCGAGCGTTGGTAGGAGTGGGTTCCACCGCCTGAGCGGCGGTGGGCGACGCACCGAGGGGCGCCTGAAAGGTAGTGGGCGCAAATCCGGCCGTCGCCCGAGGGGTGGTCTCAGGAGGCTGAACTGAAGAGGCTGCAGCCAAGGGTCCTTGGACCGTAGTGGCCGGAGGTTCAGTCCTCGGGGCCTGGACCGTAGGAGTCGGGGCCTTGGAGAAGGGATGACTGGGCTCGCCCCACAGCCCTGGGCCCGGCGATGCGTCCACCTGCCCCGAGGCCCCGCCGCCACCGGTGACATTCCCCGCCGAGGTGGCTGCGACCACGGCGGCTGCGGCGACAGCGGCGCAGCACAACAGGGCGAGGCCGCCCAGGCTCGGCAGGTTCCTCATGGCGCGCGTGGCTCCGCCATTCATTCATTCAGTCTGTCATTCAATCGGCTGGTCAGTCATCTTTTCCTCTCTGTACTCCAACCCGGGAAGCTACTGCAGCCACCGCCGCCACCCGGCACACCATCGCCACCTCCCTCTGACAGGCGGCCGGCCCCGCGGGCGGGCCCCAGCACAGAGGGAGCGACCGGGCAGTGGGAGGACAGCCCGCCCTCCGCGATTGACAGCCGCTGTAGCCCAATCGAGAGCCACGTCACCCTACGTGATCCACCCGCTTCCCGGCCTCTTTGTGGCTCCATGCACCAATAAGAAAACGCAGAAGCGAGAGGGCGGGGCGTAAGGCGGGAGGAGGGTGGTACGATCGCGGCTCCAGCCGGCCCGGCCAGCAGCGGCCCGGGCTTTGTCTGCCGGAGGAGCGGGGCGAGGGCCTCGGGCACTGGGTGCCGCGGAGCAGACAAAGGACGCGCCTCGCGTGGCAGACGCCGGGCCAAGTCTTCTGCTCCACTGGGCGGCGAGCACGACCTGGGGCGGGGAATCTACTCTTGGGATCTTCCCCTCCCTGATGAACAATGGGGCGCTGGCGCCTCACCATTTGGGCGGGGACTGGGCTGGAGCCCCCGCCATGGGCTAGGACAGCAGCAGCGAGGATGTAGAGCGAAGCATTTCCCTCCTCTGTCAGAAAGAACCTGGCTTCGGCTCTGCAAAACCGCCCTGCCGTTGTCACTTTTAAAAGTGAGGAAACTGAGGCCCTTAATGAGGTCTCAATAAAACAAGACCAAAGCCCTCATCAGGCACCTGCTGTGGACTGGCGTTAAACACTGCTGGGTGAGGGTCTGGACTAAGTCAAGAGCTGACAAGTTTCCTCGATGAGAGAGATAGAATCCCACAAACACCTTGCTCTAAACCCCTCCAGGAGAATAGAGTCTGATAAGGTCAATCAAACCTATTTTCGCTCTTGTGTCCTCAAAACAGTTTTTTCTTCATATTTCCGCTCTTGCATCCTAAACAGTTTTTCACCTGTAAAATGGTGGTAATAAGCCATGCTCTCCCCTCACAGAGCTGTTGTAACAATGCACGTAAAGGGCTTAGGCCAGTGCCTGCCTGGCAGCAAGCCCTCATTAATGTTAACTACTCTCAGTGTACTGTGTCAGGACAAGTCTGGGGTTAGAAAACAGCCCCAAGCAACAGTCCTGCTGTGTCCTCTGAGCCTCCTGCCTGTGCTCAGGATTAGGGCGAGGCTGATAGCGAGATGCGACCCTGGATGACATTAAGCCTTGGATGAATCTGGAGTTCAGTTTAACAGCCTATCACCACGCACCCAGGAACCAGAGTTTGGTCAGGTGCTGCAGCCTCTGCTTTAGAAACTTGGAGGGCGTGCCAAGCGAGGCCACCTTGTCTTCTAACTGGGCATAATCCCAACCTGGTTCTCTCCTCCCTTGCATGGTGTTTGACTTTGTATGTGGATCCTCATTATTCACTGACCTACAACTAGATTAAAAGGACAATATTTCTGTGTGAACCTGAGTCGGTGATTTTACCTGCTGAGTAAATGGAAGGAGGGGAGTATGTATAGGCTTATATGAAGTGCAAACATGCTTATGTATGTGGGTGTGTGCATATAATATGTATTTGTGCAAATTTATGAGTATGGGAACTAGTATCTACTTTGCATGATATATATTTTAAGTATGTATGTGTGTGTGCTGGTATGTGGTGGGATTTTTTTTTCTGTTTATTTTTGCAATTACGGGCATGTATGGGTGTGCCATGGTATATCTGTCTGTGTACATAAGAGGAAGCATGAATGGAAGGAGTGTATGTGTGTTTTAGTTTCAAGATCAATATTTAGCAAGCACGAGTAACAATAGGCTTGAGCATACTGGAAAGCATAAGGATGGCACAGAATAGGGCCAAGGTCAGACCTCTTTTTCACAGGGTCACTATGCGTAAACTGGCAGCACCTAACAACCACAATTAACACTCTATTCTTTCTTGTCTTTTTTTTTTTTAATGTTCACCTTTTTATTATTGAAGTTTTTTTTAATTATTATTAAATTTTATTAGTTTCAATGAACATTCACAGGGATTCTGGGCCTTCATTGCCGCACCATTCTCTCCACCCTCCTCCCCAGTTTGTTCTTCTTCCCCGCCATCCGAATGTCTGTTTTAATTGTCCAATTGCCACAGTACTTGTCAAAGTCAGTTCCTTTGTCCGTGTGTCCTTTGCCATTCCCTATCACTCCTCCCTGAGAGAGAGACTTCACCCTGATTCATAAGGAAAAGGGGATGGCGTATTCTCTTAGCTACTTCCTGCTGAAAAGGGACGCTGTGGGTTTCAGGGTGAAGATCTTCTCTCACTACTCTAAAGGGCCCCTTTGGCAGTAGGAAACACATAGACTATTATGGAGATTGATTTTGGAATTTAGATGCACTCTTATTGATTGTGCTTGGCCGTACATGTTCATATCCTTGAAGATGTATCATGGGGGTGTTGCAACCTAGAAGACACAAATTTGACTAACAAGTTATTCTTTTTTGTCTTGAGTCAAGGAGTCTTGGTCATCATGTCCCTTCCCTGTATTCTCTTGCTGACTCCTCCTGGTCATCCAAACCCCTCTTCTAAATGGGAATTTATCTCTTCCTTCTTCTACATTTTCCCACTACCTTTTTTTATTCATTGATATAACTCTGATCTACCAATCTATCCAAGCCTCCGTTTACTCATCTATAAAATGGGACTAATATGCCCTATTTCATTAAATTGAGCTAAAGACTAAAGATGTTTTACAGAGCTGATATGCAGACTATGTAGGCTCATATGTAATTGCTAACCTTGAACCTTGTTGGCTGAAGAACCAGAGCAGTAATCTTTGTTCCAGAATTCCTCTATCAGGTGACACAGTCTGACAGTTGCCCTACCAGATATAGCCAAGTGATTTCAGAAACATGCTGGGTTGGTCTAAAGCTATGCTGTATCAGAGATTCTCCATCAACAGGGCAGAGAAGCTGATGCAGCTTGTTTGTCTGGAGAATCACTGAACAGGGGATTTGACTATAGCGATCCAGGTCAGCTCTTTGCCTCAGGCAGGGGGGTCACACAGGTCTGGGCTTCTAAGATATGCTAATTCATCCATAATGTATATAAAAATAGTTGAATTTTTGGGGTAGGTATGCTAATTCATCCATAATGTATATAGAAATAGTTGAATTTTGGGGGTAGGTATGCTAATTCATCCATAATGTATATAGAAATAGTTGAATTTTTTTTTGTAAGCTAACGAAACTTGCTTCATCTAATATTTAATTCTTCATATTATTTATAAATATAGGCTGATTATATCTTAGGAATAATATTTTATTTTGTGTTTAAAAACTGGAAACTCCTGGAATATCTAACATCAGAGAAAAGCATTATTACATTTATTTAATTTAACCATATAAAATTATTGTAATGGTGGCTATGAAGACAGATTAGGAAAAATTAACAATAAATAATTTAGCTCTTAATATGGGCCAGACTCTATACTAAGAGGTACACATGAATTTCATTTAATCATACCAAAAGTCCCAGTAGGTGGATACTTAGAATCCCTATTTTAAGGGAAGAAAATCATCAATAGCGAGGATAAGCAATATATCCAATGACAACTACTAAATGATAGAACCAGAAATCAAACCAAAATTGCTTGGTTTCAGCTGGCACAACTGAAATTATGTTATAAAGAGAAACTGCTTATGATTATGAGATATTAAGCAGAAAGGAAAAATAAAAATTACAACTGTGCCTTCACCAAGAAATAATAAGATATTCTTTTAAAACCATACCTGTGACAACTGTATAACAGACTGTTTGGTACTTCCCCTTTAATTCCAAACCTGCAGCCAAAGCCAAGGGCTCTAAAGAAATCTGTCAATCTACCCATGAGAGCTGGAGTGAAAAGGCTTTGTGAGGGGTCCTAACACAGTGTGGATCAGTAAGGATCTTGTTAGACCCATGAGTAGCCTAAACCTTCTCTGATAGACAACAAAGATGCTGACTCCTTTGTGTCTATGTAGCAGCACCTACCACAGCTTCAAGTACATGGAAGTAGCTCAAGAATTACTCCTTGAGCTAAACAAGGTCCTATGTGGCTGGATTTGTTCCAGGAGTTTTGCTTTCATAACTCATTTATCACTCACACTTGAAAGAGAAAAAAACTAAGCCTATGAGAAGTTATTATAGACTTGCGCAAGATCTGCCTACCTATCTTCAAAGCCCAACTCTTCTCTGTATTCCACAGTTCATTCATGTGGCCGCTATGTATTGCATTATAAAGTAGAAGACTGTTGTGGAGTGAACTCTATCCTTCCCAAAATATGTCCTGTAAATACTAACTGCTTTGTCATTTGGGAATTGGTTGTCTTGGTGAAATTAATAAGCCAAGACTAGTGTAGAATGTGTCTTAAATCAATCTCTTTTGAGATATAAAAGAGAGTAAGTAAGTAAGAAGCCAAGTAAGAGAAAATAGGAGGAGAGTGATGTCAGTGAGGATTGCCCAGGAGCAGAAACTCACAAGAGACAAAGAGAAAATTTTCAGAGCTAGTTTCCTAAACTTGGACTTCTAACCTCCTAAACCATGAGAAAATGAAGGTGTGTTTGCCAAATCTACCCATTTATGGCATATTCCTGTTATAACAGGACTAGAGGAGTAAGACAGAGGTCAGTGATTAGATAATGTGTGTATCCAAGACAAGGGCAAACACATACACCCTAACTGGAACCCTCCTATTATTGTTGGTGTTATGGAGGGAGCTCTGGAAGGCATAGTCTTTAGTGAGTTGGCTGCTAACACAAAGGTGCTCATCTCCAGTGGTTCAAATCTATCACTGCCTCCTCTGGAAAAGAAAACACATTCTCAGAAACCTGGTGGAGAGTCACTGTGCATCAGAACTGACTCAACAGCAATGAGCTTTAGTTACTGTTGTGATTCCTGATAGCACAATCAGGCTGCTAACCAAAAGGTCCATGGTCTTTAGTATTGTTGTTT